CCCAAAAAAAAAGAAGAAGAAAAGAAGAAAGAGAAGTAAACATTATTTTGTTAAATACAAATAATAATAATTTGAACAAAACTCATACATTAATGCAATTATGGCAGTGTTTCTCAAACTGTGGGGCGCGATAACCCTTCAAGGGGGGTGCGAGCATATCGAAAATAAAAGGTTAAAAAAATAATTTACTGCAATGAAAAAAAGCAAAATACTTTATGATATAATAAAAAAAATACAGATTTACATTGATATGATTTATATACATCATCTGGTGAAAAAAGCTCATCAAAAATAAAAGATTCTACTTTGAACGCTCATTAGCTATCATTGATCCTATAACTAAATAAAAAAAATATTTTGTTTGCTTTGCTGTAATCCTACGATGAGAGATTTTTTTATTACGTTTCTTTTAACCCAAAATATTACTTTTGCTGACTTTCGAACTTACTAGTATGGTTACCTGCATCCCTTTTTTTTAGGGAAGTTGTAAATTATATAATTCTGTTTTCACAATGTGAAAGAGTTTTATGATTACATGGATAAGCATACTGAGCACTTTGAAGGATTAATTGGCCGAGATTTATTTATATGAGTATACTGAAACATATAATACAAAAATCATTAATTCTGGGAAAACTATTTATTTGCTACCAATGACCTTGGCAGAGAATCCTCTAATATGACAGTCTTAATGGGACTTAAATGAATTGATAACATATCTCCTTTTTTGGGAGTGGCAAACGTTTTTTTAGAATCTTAAGGTACTTGTTTAGAGCGAGTTCCCGGCACGACCACTATTTTTCAAAAATATTTTCTTGAACATGCTGCATTTTCCCCTATGAATAACTTAGTGGTTTTAATTGTGATGTTGTACGACTGATTATGGTTTATAAATGTAAATGAGCAGAATATAAAAAAAGAATTGGGCATCTGTGATCTCTCTGAAAGGAAAATAAAGCTGATCAAACAAAGGAAACACTTTCTGAAATAATGCATATTAATCATGTTAGCGAAAGTCAATTTGAGAAAAGCAATAAACATGAAACGAAAGGAAAATTTTCAATAACTACATTAAGAACTTTATCAAGAAAATATGAAGCCATAAGTGTACCGCAAAATGCACTTAACCCTGTCAAAAAGACACAAGCAAGAAAAAGTTCAACAGGATATTTGTCGATCATCAAAGGACATTAAAATTACAATAACGTGAACAAAACGTGACAGTTTTGCTTGCAAATAACTTTCCTGTAATGTTAGCAAAAAGTGTCTGTGATTTGTGTCCTTTATTAAGGTCACGCACATTTGGAACAATTTAGTTCAGTTTTAATGGATATTTTCTCAAATTATGAAAGACAAATAGAAAAATCCTAGAAATAGGTAAGTACATTTTCTCTTAGTTAAATTATTCACTGAAATTGTGATTTTTATCTTGTATATTGAAAATAATTATAAAAAAAAAAGAATTGGGGTGCATCAGTCCCAGCAACCATTAACGTTAGTATCGAGTGCATACCTGATCCCGGGCTTTCTCGCTTTAAATATTAAAAAAATAACACAATTGCTATTCATTAGAATTTTATATTCTTTTTTTTTTCTTCTTAACATTTATTCTAAATGCTAATTCTGCGAGGCTTAAAATTACAGTTCGTTCAAAACCGTTTATAATATAAGTATTCATTTCAATAAATCATTTTGCATTTTTGTATACATTGTCATGCGCTTGGTATTACTCTCCTTACAATTAAGCTATTATATCAAGAATAATATATTATCATTTTTTTAAAAAAATAAACTCGTGTTATGAGTGGGTACTTCAGCCAGTATAAAAGCATTTTAATAATTATTAGTGACTTCCATGGGCTTGTCTTGCAGAGCAAAGTTTTTTAAAGGAAGGCTAAAAATTAGAAATTGACACGCTGAGTTATTTTTTGATATTTAACTCAGATCTATATTTTGTCTTCAAAGTAGCCATCGCAGAAAATCCAAATTCACAAAGATATGATGTTGAAAATGGTTACAGTATACGAAATGCTTTTGTTTTCAGTGCAGAAAATTCAGCATCCACCTCTATCCAGAATTCAAAGAGTGATTTATTTCAAAATTGCCCTTTAATTTCATCACTGAATGTGAAATCTATGAAGATCTCTTTTTCGGCAGTTGAGAGCCCTTCTGAAGTATTTTGAAATGGATCCCTAACCCATTCGTAACTTGCTATCAATTTGCCCTCGTCTGTGTACTTGTTGATGCTTTATTATCGTCGAATGCTCGCTGCGATTTAAAAATATATCCACGATTTTGTTTTAATCCACTGCCGTAAATACTTAATACCGTGAATTACAATTAACGCTTGAATTATGAAATGTACATTCAAGAGGGATTCGGTAGCTAATCGATTCGGCCAAGACTGACTAGAATTGTAC